GGAAGGACACTTAGCATATTAGCCTTTTATATATATAGATTGTGTTTGCAACCTTTGCCACAGTGTGTGTGTGTATGCATATAGACACCCTTGCACACTTGTGCAGTTATTTCTGTTTAGTTTACTGGGAATGGACTTGCACATTTAAAATTATCTTATGTATGTAATACAAACTGACCCTCAATAAGGTCATTGTTACAATTCCAAAGACCAAAAAAACTGAAAACCCAAAGCCTTTTTTCATCTGACATCATGTGATAGGATCTGAGTCTATTGTATGGAAAAAACCTGACCTGCACTTAAGATTTTACGAATGTCCAAGCTTTTCTTTTTTTAAATCCTCACCCAAGGATATTTTTCCATTGATTTTTTTTTTTTTTTGAGAGAGAGAGTGTAAGAGAGAGGGAAAGACAGAGAAATATTGATGTGAGAGAAAAACATTGATTGGTTGCCTCCTGTACCAGCCCCAACCAGGTCCCACTTACGTGCCCTTGACCTGAATCGAGCTGGGACCCTTTGAATAGAGCAGGCCAATGCTCTATCCACTGAGACAAGCCGGCTAGGGCCTGTCCAACCTTTTCTATGTCGACAGAATGTGAATTTTCATTTTACTGCAGAAATAATGATGTGGTTGATTATTAGGTCTTGTCTCAGATTCCACTGGGGATATAATAATATTATATTAATCCTTTTCAAAATCGGAAAAACTCAGTTTAAAACACGTGGCCTTAAGAATTTTTGAATAGGGGAAATTTTATCTGTACTTATGTACATTGTCAGCAGTATATGAATACAAAGCTATTTTCTTCTTTTAAATTTTATTTTTCAATTATAGTTTACATTCAACAATGTTTTATATTTCTGTTGTACAGTATAATGGTTAGACACTCATACTTTACATAGTGATCTCAATATTTTTAGTACCCACCTGGCACTATACATAGTTCTTACAATATTATTTACTATATTTTCTATCTGTATTTCACATCTCCGTCACTATTTTGTAACTACCAATTTGTAGTTCTTAAATTCCTTCACTTTTTTTTACCCAGCCTTCCACCCCACTTCCCCTTTGTCTGTTGTTCTTTGTATTTATGAACCTGTTTCAATTTTGTTCATTTATTTTGTTCTTTAGATTCCACATATAAGCAAGGTCATGTGGTACTTGAAAGTATTTTCTTAACAGTAAATTTTTTTTTAAATACATTTTATTGATTTTTTTACAGAGAGGAAGGGAGAGGGATAGAGAGTTAGAAACATCGAAGAGAGAGAAATATCAATCAGTTGCCTCCTGCACACTCCCTAATGGGGATGTGCCCACAACCAAGGTACATGCCCTTGACCGGAATCGAACCTGGGACCCTTGAGTCCGCAGGCTGATGCTCTATCCACTGAGCCAAACCGGTTAGGACTTAACAGTAAAATTTATGAGTGTGTTAATGTCCAAGAAATGGATTAGCCAATTTACTTGAATATTAATTTACTTCAGTAGAGTTTTATATAGGGAACATTATTCTCAAAATAATTCAGATTTTGCTTGAAATCCCTTATGAACATTGTCTTTTTACTTGCATGTGGTCTGACATGAAGTCCTAACAGCCATTTTTTTCTGCCGATTGTAGAAGATTTCACCATTTCTTTTAGCTCTTTGACTTGTACAACAAACTACAACTAAATTTCTTGCATTTTGAATATTACAGTCAGTGTAGAAAGGTGCTTACAAGAGTAACCTCAAGCCCTGGTTGGTGTGGCTCACTTGGTTGAGTGTTGTCTAGTGCACTGAGAGGTTGCTATGTTAATTCCCGGTCAGGATGCATGCCCAAGTTGGGGGCTCTATCTCCAGTAGGGAGTTTGCAGGATGCAGGTAGTTGATGTTTCTATTTCTCTCCATCTGTCTAAAATCAATAAAAACATTTAATAAATAAAAGAGTAACCTAGAAAATGAGACCTACTTAGGGGACATCAGTGTTAATATAGTCTTTACTATTTTTTAAAAAAATGTGTTTTTTAATTATTTTTTATAGAGAGAGGAAGGGAGAGGGAGGGAGAGAGATATAAAAATTGATGGGCTACTTCCTGCACAACTCCCACCAGGGATCAAGCCCGCAACCCAGGCAGGTGTTCTGACTGGCAATCTGGTGGTGCATGGGATGACCCTCAACCTACTGACCCATACCAGCTAGACTAGTCTTTACTATTTAAATTACTTTTTTAGCTTGGCCAGTGTCGCTCAGTGGTTTAGTGTCAATCTAGGAACCAGGAGGTCACATTTCGATTCCCAGTCAGGGCAGATACCTGGGTTGCAGCCTATGCAGGAGGCAGTCGATCAGTGATTCTCTCTCATCATTGATGTTTCTATTTCTTTCTCCTTCTTTCTTTCTCTCTGAAATTAAAAATATATATGTATTAAATTTTTTGTTTTTAGGTGGAGGGTATCTGTATTTGAGTTTGATGTAAATGTCAATGTAATATGAGTCTATTACTTTACTATTACTTTGTAGGATTTTATCTTAATCCTATATAATAAAAGGCTAATGGGCTAATCAACCAAATGGCAGAACGACCGGTTGCTATGACTTGCACTGACCACCAGGGGGCAGATACTTAACGCAGGAGCTGCCCTGTGGTGGTCAGTGTGCTCCCACCGGGGCAGCACAGTGGAGTGGCGAAAGTGCTAAGGATGTCCAGTGGGAGTGGGCCTAAGCCGTTAGATATTCCCCAAGGGCTCCCGGTCTGCGAGAGGGCCCAGGAGGGCTAAGGGGACCCCTCCCCCCCAGTGCATAAATTTTGTGCACTGGGCCTCTAGTCATATTATAACTAACTAGAGGCCCGGCACACAGATTCATGCATCAGTGGGGTCCCTCGGCCTGGCATGAAGTGGCACGTGGCTGGGGAGGAGCCCGGGCTGGGCTCCACACTGATCCTGCTCATCCCAGCCACACTCTACCTGCCTCCACTGCCACTTCATAGCTCATTGCTGCGGAGACGGGAGAGGGTCGTGCCACCGCAGCTGCGCTCACGAGCCATGAGCCCGGCATCTGGCACCCGGTGGTCAGCTGAGCGGTGATCCTGTTGTGGGAGCACACTGACCACCAGGGGGCAGCTCCTGCATTGAGCATCTTCCCTCTGGTGGTCAGTGCATGTCATGGCGACCGGTTGTTCGGTTGCTTAGGCATACACACACACACACACACACACACACACACACACACACACACACTCTAGAGGCTGGGTGCACGAAATTCCTGCACTGGGGGAGGGAGGTCGTCCCTCAGCCTGGCCTGCGCCCTCTTGCAGTCTGGGACCCCTTGTTCCTTACTGCTTGCTGCTCCTTACTGCTCTGCTCACTGCTCCTTAGTGCTGCCGTGGAGGCAGGAGAGGCTCCCACCACTGCTGCCGCACTCACCAGCCGTGAACCCAGCTTCTGGCTGAGCAGCGCTCCCCCTGTGGGAGCACACTGACCACCAGGGGGCAGCTTCTGCATTGAGCGTCTGCCCCCTGGTAGCCAGTGCGCATCATAGCGACCAGTTGTTCTGGTCGTTATGCCGTAAAGGTCGCTTAGGCTTTTATTTTGTGTGTGTGTGTGTGTGTCTAATATATACACATACATACATGTTAGGGGCACAAGTTAGTGCACTTTGAAAGAACTGGGCTGCGAGGCTGCCGTGGTCACAGGGGCGGGTCTTGGCCCATTCTCCTCACCCCCACCCAACCCCTCCTGCAGCAGCCCCTGTCTACCGGCAGCCCCGCTCCTGCCATTGTCACTCCCACGAGCTGTCGGCACTGGCCCTGGTTGCACCTGCTGATGGTGTGGAGCAATTCGGGCCTGCGCTAGCAGTGGGTGCAAGTGGGGCCGGCAGCGTCAGTGGGTGCCAGTGGCAGCTGCTTCCTTGATTGCCCCTGAGGAGCAGGGGGAGGTGGAGAAGCCCTCAGTCATTTGGGACGGGCACCGGGCATTGGCAGCGGGTGCGAGTGGTGGCTCTGGCACTGGCAGTAGGTGCCAGCGGGACTGTTGCTGGTGGGAGTGCGGTGTGCGGGAGCAAAGAATTTTCAGTAACCACCAGAGGCTCGCCCTGATGACAGCAACTGGCATCCTGCCTTGTTCACCCGCTCCACCATCCCGCCGTGGCCAATGCCTGCCATGTTCCACGCTCTGCTGCCGACGCCTGCCATGTTCTGTGTGTGCCCCCCGGTGGTCAGTGCACATCATAGCGGCCAGTTGTTCGCTCGTTCTGCCTTTTGGTCTATTTGCGTATTTGCCTTTTATTATATAGGATAGGATTACTAATTTAATAGTAATCCTGCACATATATATGGTTTTATTTTTACTTTCCCCTTAATGCTTCAATATACTTATAGGACAGAGGCTGACAAACGTTTTTGGGAAAACAATTTTAGGCCTTGCAGGTCATATGGTCTGTCTTGCTACTTATCCTGAGGTAGCCATAGACAGTAAGTAAATTCTTGTTCTATGAAAGTTAATTTACAAAAACTGGTGTGGGCTGTCCCTTGCTACACTGGAATTTCTCAGTGGTTTGTTGAAATGGGGATGGGAGAGTTTAAGACCTCCTTCTATATGTAATAGAAATTTTGTCTAGGCAGTACAGTTCTTTGCACTGGCTTACATAGGAATAGATTCTGAGTGTCTGTGGGAACTTTGCTATGGCAGTAATTGATCCCAGGCTTTTCTTTTTAAACAGCAATATAGTGCATATTTGAGTATTTGGACTCTGAATTTTTTTTTTACTGTAAGCATTTAACGTTACTGGTTATATGTTACCTTTTGGAATTATTCTAATTAAGTTACTTTATATCTTTGGTTTATTTGATTTATTAAAGATTTAGAGCAAAATAGAGGGAAGGTAAATCTGCTAAACCATTCATTGTTGACAAATTTGACAGTGTATTTTGCATAAATGATTTTTTTAAACCTGAAATAAAATACCTGATTATGGCTTACAAAGCATTCATGCTGAAGTTTTTATTTAAATATCTTTTAGACATGAAGAAGAGCATCGTCGTCGTGAGGAAGAAATGATTCGACACAGAGAACAGGAGGAACTGAGGCGACAGCAAGAGGGCTTTAAGCCAAATTATATGGAAAATGTAAGTAAAATACTAGTTAATTAAAATTATTTTTTGTTGTCAGGTGGATTATGTATGTTGAGAATTCTTTAGGTATTGCTTTATATATTAATATATTTTCTAATCTTTCTAAATTTGTCATGCTTTTGTGTGTTAAATGATTTTTTTAAACCTCTTTCAGGTAGGAAATTAAAATTAGTTTCTGAAGGTATTCATGTTTTATGAAATATGTTAATTTTTCTTCAGTTTTACCTTATTTTTTAAAAATATATGTTACTAAATTAGAAGTCTTTATAAATCCATCTCCACTTGACTGATTTTCATTATTTAATGATAATAAAAATTCTTTACTTTGGAAGATTTTAGATATTGTAAAAGTAGATTCTCATGTGTTCATCACCCAAACATAATAGTTACCAACAGCTGGCTGATCTTTTTCTTCATCTTCAAGTATACCAACTTTCCCCCATTATTTTGTATAAAATTCCCAACTTCAAATGATTTTGCTCATCCATATTTTAATATGTATTTCAAAATGATAAGGACTTGAAGATATATTTTCATTGATTTTTAGAAAGAGAGAAAAATAAATTGGTTGTCTCCAGTATGTGCCCTGGCCGGGCATCGAACCTCGTAGATGACCACTGAGCCACACCTGGCCAGGGCAGCACTCTGTTTGAAAATACCCTTATGTCTTAATAATTGTTGATTCTTTTTTTTTAAATATGTTTTTATTGAATTTAGAGAGAGAGAGGAAGAGAGAGGGATAGAAAGAGAAACATTGATGAAAGAGTAACATCATTGATCCGGCTGTCTCATGCACACCCCCTACTGGGGATCGAGCCCTCAAATTTGGCATGTGCCCTGACCAGGAATCAAGCCTGTGACCTCTTGTTTTATGGGTCTATGCCAGCCGTGGGCAAACTACAGCTTGCTTGAAATGACTAAAACTAAAAAAAAAAAAAAAGACCGTACCCTTTTATGTAATGATGTTTACTTTGAATTTATATTAGTTCACACAAACACTCCATCCATGCTTTTGTTCCGGCCCTCCGGTCCAGTTTAAGAACCCATTGTAGCCCTCGAGTCAAAAAGTTTGCCCACCCCCCTGGTCTATGCTCAATCGCTGAACCACACTGGCAGGGCAAAAAATTGTCAATTCTTTAATATTAACTAATAAATGCCTAAATTTGCCCAGGCCTTTAAGGTTTTGGTTTTTTTTTTTAGACAGTTGGTTTTTTAAATTGTCTAATAAATCACATCATTTTAGTTCATGTTTTTCTCTTATTTTTATGTTTTTCCTTTTTATTTTTTTTAGTCCTCACTGGAGGATATATTTATTGATTTGAGAGAGAGAGAGAAACATTAGTCGCCTCTCTTATGTACCCCTACGGGGGATTGTACTTGAGTTCTAGGTATGTGCCCTGTTTGAAATGAAGTCTGCGACCTTTTGGGTATATGGGACTACGCTCCAACCAACAGAGCCATTTGGCCGAGGCTTTTTTTTCCGAGTGTTATTGTCTACATTATCTCCCATCGTGAATTTGGTGAATGTTTTATTGCAGTGTGTTTAACAAGTTTCTTTTTTTCTGAATTTCTCATAAAGTGGAGTTAATTCCAAAGAGATGATCTGACTAGGGTGGTTATTTTGGGGAGGCAAAATGCTAGGGCAAACAAGGATACCTCAACTGTGTTACAATTCACAAGTTCTTAATGATAAGTAACAGAATCTCATTGTTTACATTATTTGAATGTCAGCTTCATTCATTCTGAAAAATATGTACTATTTTTTTTTTCTCTAGCTGTTTAAAAGCCATGGTTCTTTAATAAGTTTTTGAAGCTAAAAGTATTTAAGTCATCGTTGCCCTTTTTTCTGACCTTCTTTGTTCCTGTTTTTCTGACCCCAGAACATTTTTATTTTTTATTATTTTAATGTTTTTATTTTATTTTATTGGCTTGAGTGAGAGAGAGAGAATCATTGATTTGAGAAAGAATCATTGATTGCTTGCTTCCCATATTCATCCCTCCTGGGGATCAAACCAGCAGCTACCTGTGTGTGTGTGCCCTGACTGGGAATCGAACCAGTGACCTGATGCTCAACTGAGCCATACCTGCCAGATCTATCCCTAGAACATTTTTCAACTTTCTTATTTGAAAGAATGTTCACACTGTAAAATAAGTTCTGACTTGTATAACATTAAGAAATGTTTATCTTCACTCCCATCAAGTAAATATTATTTGAAAATTATGCGTCATTTAAATTCAATTTAAAAAGTTTTTATTTATAAGTCATATAAGCTCAGCTGGAGTGACTCAGTTGTTTGAGCATCATCCTGTTAACCAAATGTTTGCTGGTTCGATTCCTGCTCAGGGCATATAATTGGATTGGGAAGTTCGATCCCTACTTACGGAATGTATGGGAAGCAACCGATCGATGTTTCTCTCTCCCTCTCCCTTCCCCTCTCTCAAATCATTAAAATAATATCCATCCAAGGATTAAAAAAAAATCTCTAAGATGTATCAAAGATTTAATTTATTTTTAAATTCATCACCAAATTAGAAGAGTAAGTTTTTTAAAGCATTGTAAATAGTTTTTGAGTAATTTCTAACACTTTGCAATTCTATTTTTCTCTGAGTGCATATTTTAAATTGTTTTAGATTTCTTTGATTGTTATATTTGACTATAAACCTGTTGGATTTATCAATGTGAGGATATTTTCTGATGTTATAAAAGAATGTAGAATTTAAATTTTCAGGCCCATATTTTGAAAAGTAGTTGCTAGTGTTTTTCTTTTCAAATAGAGTCAGTGTATTAGGAAAATTTTATTTCATTCCACTGAGGATTAGGAAATTCTTCCTAGTCTTTTTATGTATCTGAACATTTCTTTTACTAAAGTGCTTGTTGGAATTAACATTCTTAATATTTTTCTGGCATAAATTTTACATCCTTGGAGAAAACATGTAGCTATCCTATCTAATAAAGAGGGAATATGCTAATTGACCCTCAGCTATAGCAAAGATGGTGGCATCCACAGCCAGTAAGGAGGGAATATGCTAATTGACTGCCCTGCCCTCAAAGATGGCAACGCCCGAAGCCATAAGATGGCGACGCCCAGTCCCGCACGCCTGCCTCCAGAGTCCCCCAGGACCCTCAGTCCCCCAGCCGCCCAGGGCCGCCTGAGGCTCAGGTAACCAGGCTGGCCAAGGCTTGCGCTGCCAGCAATGGCAGCAGCAGAGGTGTGATGGGGGTGTCGCCTTCCCCTGATCGCCAGGTCACCTCCCGCCCCTGAGGGTTCCAGGACTGTGAGAGGGGGCAGGCCGGGCTGAGGGATTCCCCCACCTCCAGTGGATGAATTTTCATGGACTGGGTCTCTAGTTTGTGATAATGTGATATACATAAATCATTTAGGTTTGTAAAAGGAAATGATTAAACCATACTAGTATCCTGCTGTTAAACTTGATTAAGTTTACCATCACAAACTTCATTGCTGACTATTTGAACTCTTTTCACAGTTTATAAAACACCAGTGTTTTAATATGCTTATTGTCATTTACTATAAGTATGTTTAATGGACAGATCATTTTAATTTTATTTTCCTATTAAAAAACTACTTGGAAATGTTGCTACATTTAACCCTGAATTACTACGTAGCCTTATTTTTAATTTAAAAACATTTTTATGTTTACTATGCATTTTATTTTATTTTTTTTATTATATTTTTTAAAAAATTGGTTTTAGAGAGAGAGGGGAAAGGAGAGACATCACTTTGTTATACTAATTTGTTGCATTCATTGGTTGTTTCTTATATGTTCTTTGGCCAGGGATCGAACCCACAACCTAGGTATATCTGGATGATGCTTTAACCAACTGAGCTAGCTGGCCAGGGCCTAAAATGCATTTTAGTGGTGGGCAAAAGTTTATAAATATTTAATGAATTTTGTGAATAAATAAGTTAAATATAAATCCACCTCGTGTAAATAATCTATTTTTCAAATGTTGGCATTTGATAAATAGATTATTTACTGATCCACCCTACTGCAGAGCTAAGAATAGTGTTTACATTTTTTGTGTGTGTGTGTGTGTGTGTGTTTACATTTTTAAGGGATTAATGAATGGTGGGAAAAAGGAATATTAGAGAGTATGTGTGACCACAAATCCCAAAATACTTTTACTCTTTAACCCCTTAACTCCCTGGGCAGGAGTGTTGTGTTGTTGTTTTTTTTTAATTAGTGCTCATGTTAGGCCTCAAAGTTTACTAAGTTGTTAATTTTTTTGAAGAGGAACCATATTTAAAATAGTGTGTAACAATGAATTAAATCTTTGGGTGAAGATAATCTTTGTTCTATTTTTAGATCTCTGAGATTAGAAATTATGAGCAGACACAATCGTTGTCAATTTTGTTTAATTCCTAGCTTCCTGATACTTGTTAATGTACACTAATCAAGCACTAAAGAAATATTAGCAAAAGCTCTATAGGTCTTGACTATTTATGTCAATGGAGAAAACATTGAGGCAATTGTTTCAGTTATTTTACATTTACTTTGAAAACTGTCTTTGGAAAAATTGTTAAATAATTTTAATGTTTGTTTTTGTTCTTAAAAGCCTTGAAAATTAGGCCTTCTTATGTGCTTTCTCTTTTTCACTGTTCAGTTTAAAGGAATGAAATGGTAAGTGTTCAGCTTGCCCACATAATAAGAGTAAAGAGTAAAGTAGATTTACTTGTTTTAAGATGCCACCTCTGATTTCTTTCTAATTTTTCTCTTAGTATTCCGGAACAACTAATAGTATGGGCTTTGAAGTATAAAATAAATACTTTCATATTTTGTGTCTTTTTAATAATACTTTTTAAAAATGGAACAAAAGATGAGGGAAAACATCTATCATTCTTGGTCATGCTTTTTTTTGTTAGCCTTTAACTTTATCATGATTTTATAGTGTACATGTGAATATATTTTTCAAAGTTTCAAGGCTATGTCAGTACTTCTCACTTAGATGTTGTCATTTTTATTTCATATCTTAT